TCTTGTAATTTATTCTATAAAACATAATAATCAGTTAAATAATCAAACTGAATGTATAATACTGAAAAAAAAAAAGCCAAAAATAATGCAAATGGTATAATAATTAAAATAAATGTTTGTTATTTTTTAATTGCATTCTCTTTAGTTTTAGCCAAAGATGAGTGTAGTAAACATCTGCATGGGAATTTTTCCTGAATCAATACCAAACAAGAGAGAGTATTTTTTTTTTCAAAATATTAATGGTAAATCTTTAAATACTGGTTTATAATTTTCAATTAATAGTATTTATAACTATAAATTCAATTACCTAATTGTTTAAAAACACTATATTATCTTTTATTTCTTGTGTATTGACTGACACGTAATAAACAATATGTTTAATAATAGAACTAATAACTTTTCAAATGCAATAACACTAAATACAAAATAATTTATTATTATATTAGTTAATGAAGCAATTTCCTAAATATGGAAAGAGTTAAAAATTAACATATTTGAACTCATTAAGGGAAATAAAACAGTTACTTTAACTAATATCCACATTATGAGATTTGTTTTCTTTTTATGCAAAAAAAAATATATTTTTCATAAATGTGAACATAGTTATTTCTCATTAACTTACAGAAAAATTTGTGTAGAATGAGTAAAACATTTATTTGACTCAGAAAGTACAGTCTGTGTTTGAGTTTTGTCAGCTTGTGTTTATAAAAACTGCTTCTTAACTGGAACTTAAAATAGGTGATTTTATATGTTTTTAATAAAACTATATAAAAGCAAGTAAAATCTACACATAAATGGTCTCTATTTCTAATATTACGTACATCTATTTTTATTTATCTGTCTAAATTAAGAAACCTACATAGATAGAAAAAGTTAATTATTTTGTTGGAACCAATTATCAAGTTTTGTAATCCATATTTTATAAATGGTTCTCATTAATTATTGTCTTTTTAATATGTGCAATATTGTACAGAATAAAGATTTATAGGTAGTAAAGTTTTATAAAAAAATTTATTACATTTAATAATATCAATACATTGAATTATATTGAGTCTTGTGATTTTTAATAAGATTTACCATACACAACTTGTTATTATGCATGACATTGCTTACATTAAAAAAAACAATAAAATATTTATTCTATTTAACTAACATAAATATCAATAAAAAGTCTACTAATGATTAATAAAATGACAATTTTATAAGATAATTATTACAAAATAAATAAAAAATTGGACTTACGTAATATTTTCTATACACAAATAAAAATTAACATTAAAATGAATATAAAAAACTTAACATATTTACAACCTGTAACTTAAACTCAAAATTATTTTATTAACTAACTTACTTGGGTACTTAATAGTAGTTTTGTTTTATTATTATTATTATTATTATTCTGTAAAAATTATTTGTTTTCGTTGACATGAATGTGGTTATTTGTTGGTTTATTACATATCTAATATTAACAAGATTTAAATATCATGTTAATTATTACTAGTACTTTGTATTTAATTTTTGTGTAAAATAGTCTGAGACAACATTTCTCTTAATAATTTCAGTTGTTATCTTTCGTAGCCCCTAAGAATACATGCATCACAAACATCTAAACAAGAAAATAGATATAAAGAATAGTGAGACTTACTAAAAAAAGTTAAAAGGAATATACTTCTTAAAGAATTTAAAGACACATTAATTAGTTTCTTTACATATGTTAAATATAATAAATTGAATCAATTTTAATAGTCCTAATATCAATTTTGTGAAAGAGATAAATGTTTTTATTTTCTATGATACACTTTGTCCAGAACTCTAATAAAAAAAGTGTTATATGATAATATTTCAATATTTCATGCAGATGCAGCTCAAAAACCTTTTTAGGGTTAGTGACTGGTTAGATTCTTATTAAGTGGTTTTATCCCATTGCTGATCAACTAAAAATAAATATGGATACTTTAGCTTCTTAGTATTCTAGACCTTTAGCCGGTGGATGATTGATTAGAAATGGTCAAAAAACTAGTTCATCGCTATTTTTACGGTAGACTAAACCTGTGTACACTCTAAACTATTGAACTTCGTGCCATTTACCATAGAGTGCAACTCATCATATAAAGAAAAATCCAGCTTATATAATGACTTCAAAAAAGCTTTATTCTCGATGTCGTGTACCCAGAACATTTTTCACTATTTATTTGTAACTTTTATCTTTTATTGTAACCCAGGTATTTTATATTTATTTAATTTTTATTTAAATTCTAACAGACAACATTAGCTTAGTCTTTGTTTATATCAAAATTATGAATCATTAAAATCAAAATAGAAAATCACATGTATTAAAGCAACAATAAATAAAAAAGTATATGTATTAATTAAAATAAAGACACATTACTAAAAATATGCTTAATACGCTTTATACAGATAGATAATATAGATGAAAAAAATTTATCCGTAAAAAACAAAATTTTACAAAATAAGTTAAAAATATTATGACAAACTATAATATCTGTAAACAATAAATTTTTGACTTAATTTTAAATATTATCACTATAACTTGATGTAATTATAACGATGTATAAGAAAATAAAGTGTTATAATAATTTTTATCATTATAATTTAATTTTTATATAACAATAGAAAATATGTCACACATAAGATTAGGAAAAGTGTCATATATATATATATAACACTATAATGAAAATTAAGATATTTATTTAAAAGATGCTTTATCTTGACATTTTGAATTTTAAAAAATTACAGTTCCATACACAAACAAAAAAGAATTTCCAAAATTAAAAAAATAAAGGTTTCTTATGGTTTCTTATGTTTTATTATTTGTTCTCCAATCAAACTAATTTATTGCACAGTAAAAAGGCCCATCAATTTAAATGAATTATAATAATTTACAGTTACAGCTTTTAAATATCTATGTATTTTATATTTTTCACTGTTAAATGCCTTTTAATATTTATCATTTATTTAACTTTATAGATAAAATATATATTATTAGAGAAATTTTAAGAAAAATTTAAAATCTATATACATAAAAAAAAATTAATACTTATTCAAAAAAATAGAAATAAAAACATAATTATACAAAGTTAAGATAAATGCAATTTTATAAATTTAAATACCAATTAGTTAATAAAATAATTTTTTCTTTACTAACAAAATATTTTATCATTCATTTGTATTTCAAAACATTCAATTAATGTATATACGTCACATGAGATACTTACCAATTACTAAATTTTCCCTATGTTACACGAGTATTAAATTTCTCCTTTATATTTGTCAATTTGTAATGGTATTTAATATATTTTTATTGTATAAAAATAAATTAAATATAATATTTAAAGTTTTAAAATTAATTATATTAAATATTTTTGTTAAAATAATATTTATAACTTTTTTCTTCAAGTGACTATGTAGCATTTAATTTTTTTAAATATATTAAATTATATTGTGGTTATAAATTTATTTTCCCTTTCTTTATAATTAATTTATGAATAAATTAATAAAATTGTTATTTCTTACTATAATATATTCATAAATAAAATATTTATTTTCAGCTAAGAATGATCAAACTTAAAGATTCTTATTTTAATCGTCGATTGAACTGATGTACTCCACATGATATATATTTCTCTTGAATCAAGTTTGATTTAACAGCCATAAACTTATCTATATATTTTATTTTCCACTGATTTTAAAAAATACAACACTCTCTGCTGATAAATTTATGTATCATAAGAAAAAAAAAATATAATAAAGCATGTAGAAAATGTTGATTATGATTAATTTGAAACAGTTATTAATTAAAGATGAATTGAGTTTATCCGACAAAAATAAACTAAAGAGATATAAGTCTTCAATTTTAAAATTAGTAATTATAAATCATGTGAATCAAAACAATTTTATATGTATTTATTTTTTATGTGATTTTATAATTTAAATTAAATTTTAACTGATTTAAGCAATAATATCTAAAAATTAAAAGAAAATAACAAAAAAAAATATTTAATGTAAAAAGTAACATGAATTATCAGGAAAGAGAATAAAATAAAATACATTTCTTTCTAAAAGTATCATTCAAAATTATTCTAATATACATCGAAGAAAACAAATACAATTATTCTATTATAAAAAAAATTATTATTTTTTATTAACCATCACGCAAGCAATATAACATAACAAACAAATAAAAAATAAAAAGGATTTTGTGTGTGTGTGTAAAACCAGGTATTAATTATAGGATTTGTGGTAATAAATTAAATATCATCTTTATTATATTTAAAATTTAAAAATTATTTCAATGTTGTTTTATAAAATCAGATATTAACTAGATATTGCGGAATTGGAAAGTGCTTTCTTTGTCTTTTAAATTTTATTACTATGATTGTTATTAAAGTAATTTAAAAATATTTATAAAAATAATAAATAAGAAAATATAAAAGTAATTAGATAAAAGCAAAAAGAAAATCGTGGAAAAGAATATAACAGTAAAAATACACTCACTTTATTTCCTTATAGCCTTCTTCTAGAGAGGGCAGTGTGTTGGCATTTTGAGTAAATATCACCAACGGTATCCGTTATTACCGTGCGGCAACCAATCGTTTCCTTTGTTACTAGTCATCGTTGGCGGCGCAAAAAGTTGCATGGCAAAGACATATTTTAAGTCATCCTCACTCAAGCGCGTGTAAAACACTCAAATTTAACTACAGTGGGATTGAAAGAAAAAGTTGGATGGACGCGTGAAAACCGAAACATGGGATTCCTAGGAAGTTACATTGGAAAGGGTGGAATGAGGGCATGATATGTATGTGGATGATCATGCTTGGTTGATGCATGGAGAATGTGACACAGCCCCATGCCAGCTCATATCTAATAATGGAAATAAATTAACTTTGCATAATTAATATTATATGTTTTACCTACTCGGTCGCTTTAAATGCGAAATTTTGACCGGGGTGATTAAAAAAAGGTTAATGGCTCAGACAGACCTGGTAGAGTAGAAAAGAGAGAGAGAGAGAGAGAGAGAGAGAGAGGGGCCACTCACTGTGAGAGAAACACTGCCAAGTAGAGACAGAGCAGAGGAGAGAGAAAGACAGACAGAGCCACAGACATAGCAGCCTCCTTCGCCTCAGTGAAAATAAGCAAGGTAAATTTCATTGTGAACAGTGAAGTTTTTATGGTCTCTCGAGAAACTCATTTTATTTTAAACTAATTTATTAATTAGTGGTCTTGTAATGGTGTTTTTTTATTATAAATAAATTAAATAAATTGTGGGTGTGGTAATGTTTGTATAGAGATTTGCGTCTGTTTCACTCTGTGTGTCGTACTAAAGTCGGCTATTTTTTTCTCTATATTTATTGATTTGCTTCACCCGAGTCACTGGCAAAAGCAATTTCATTGTTGAGATCGATAAAAACTAGCAATAGGGTGCACATTTTTCTCTTGCTGTAAGGAGGAGATAAAATCTGGGCCATAGATTTGTAATCTTTTTCCTAAGAGACTGTGCGCCTCCCTTGTGTTTCTTCTTTGTTTTCTTTATATATCAGTGTGTTTCACTCTTTGATACTCTTTCTTCTCCTGTTCTTTGGCGAGTGAAGAACTGAGAGAGCAAATAAAGCTCCGAGGTTGATTTGTGTGTTTCTCGGAGGAATAATCTTCAAAAGAAGGGCAAGCAGTGGATTTATGTCGTCTGGGTTTATTCTGGCAGTGATTGGGGCTCCAGTGCAGCTCTCGATTGTTTCTCTCTTGTTTGCTCTCTCCTTGTGCTTCTGTTGCTGTATGTTACTTTGCATTCTGACTCAAAATAGTGTGAACCCAGCTGTTTCAATGCGATTGAGGCCAAAAAGGTTTGTTTTTCCATTTCTTCTCTTTTTTTCATTAATCCCCTTTGTTTTCATGGGTTTGGGGTTTTAACTTTGTGGTTTTTTTAACAGGACTTGTTGCGGAGTGGAGTGTTTTGGAGGCTTTCACATACAAAGATTTTCATATCTCTTCTTATTCTTAAGAGGGGATCTCACCTGAGACCTTGAGAGATTTTGTTACCTTTTTTTTTTGGTTGCCCACCTTTTGATTTCTTTCTTTCTTTGATTCGATTTGGTTTCCTTCACAGTTTTCTGTGTATTCTGAGGGGTTTTTGGAGGGTTTTTCCAAAAAAAAAAAGTTTTCCCACCATGCCCGAATCTCGGAAACAACCGGCTAATAGAGCGAAGCAAAGGCTTCATCACCCCTTGCAAGAGTCCAAAGCGATGAGAAAACTCCGCATAATATTCGGCGATCCTGATGCTACTGATTCATCCGAAGATGAGTCAGAGGTTATTATGAACCAGAGAAGGGTGAAAAGAAGCATTCGCGAGATCTCTCTTCCCCCTCTTCCTCTTGTCGTCACCTCCCCAGAAACAAGCTCTTGCGAAGTGAATAGCAACAACAATAGAGTCACGGCTTGCATTGAAGGTCAACCTCAGAACAAGAAGAGGGTTTTGACCCAAAACCCTTCAACGAGGAGACAAGGTTCTGGTAAATATAGAGGTGTTAGGCAGAGGAAGTGGGGTAAGTGGGCTGCAGAGATTCGTGACCCGTTTAAGAGTGCTCGGATCTGGCTAGGCACTTACAACACTGCAGAAGAGGCTTCTCAAGCGTATGAGGCCAAAAGGCTCGAATTTGAAGCCATGGCTAAAGCTCAAGCCTGTAAAAACGCTGCTACAATTGTACCATCGGTTTCAACTTCTGATAAGAGTAACTATTGTTCCTCTTCTGCTGCCGCTGTTTCTGCTGCTGCAGTGTCTGTGTCGGAGAAGTTTTCTACTACTTCCGAGGACTCAGAGTGTGTGTTGTCACACACATCTCCATCCTCCGTGCTCGAGTTGGATACCTCGGCTTCTAATTCGATTGTCAAGGGTAATGTTTCAAGCAACGAAGCTTTTGAGGCTAATGATTTGGTGGCTGAGCTGGCGGGGTTGGAGATACCCGATTTGAGTCTGTTGAACTTGCCTCCAACGTCCGATGCTGTTGTTTCTGCTTCATGTGGGTCTGAACCAAACCTTGGGTTTGATTTCGATTGGTTAACTTTTGATGATTATGGACAGGGTTTTGATGATCTTGGTGGCCTTGAGGATATCCAAATTTGTGGCTTTGATGACAATGAGCCGAGTGAGCTTCCTGATTTCGATTTTGGTGATTTTGGTGCTGATGAGTTTGCCGGTTGGACTGAGGAACCCCTCAATATACCTTGTGCCTAAGTTTTGCAGCTGCATAGGAATAAGACTAGAAGACCTTCTACATTACTATTATAGGATAAATTTTGTCAGTCTCATGCATAAAGTTGTGTTATAGTTTTGTGAAATCTCAGAATTTGTAATACCAATCCCTTGAGTGAGTGTTTTTTTTATGCGTCTACAGTATTTATTTTGTTTTGTTGAGGGAGTTGAGATCAGCGAGATGTAAAAGAGAATCCTTTGGGTTTTCCCGTGCTGTTCAAGAGCCGTCCAAGGGGATCTCGAGCCATGATGCTATGTTTGGTAATTTGAAAGTTCTTCCATGGCAGTGTATTATCAAGTGACCTTCAATGTCTTTTTATTGCATTTGTTATTTTTTTTCACCAATTGCTGATAAGTGTGAAGCTTTTTATTAAGATGATTTTATATTGGACGATTTGCACAAAACCAATATCCGGAATTCCTCGTAGACGCTTCATATTCTAATGTCATTTAATTGTCGGGATTGAATGAGGTTCGCGTTCTCGTTTCCTTGATACCAGCTCAATGCAGGTTGCTATTTTTATGTTGTATGGCCAGGGAAATTGGGTTTTAATCTATGAGTAAAAAATGCACTAAAATTTCTTTTTTTAATACAAATTATAAAGCTTAAAAAAATAAAACGAAGGAACAAAATATGAAGCGTGGAATGGGGTATTGGGGTAGATGCAGAAAGTGGGGCCAAAGCAGGACTTTTTAGAAGGGAAAGATGTTATCTAGTGGTAGAGAATAGGGTACACACATAGCTGTATCGCAATTCATCTTTGGTACTTCACTCTCTCAGCACCTCTCCCAAAATTTTAAAAAATAAAAATAGTTAGTCAGCAGCGGGCCCCATTTTCCACGTGTCGCCTGTCAACAAATGTTTGTTGTTCCGCTTGCATACGGCATTAGTGGTACGTCCAAAAGGGCAGATACTGTAGGATCTGATTTTTGTTCTGATTTTATAACCAAATATGTTATCAAAGGATCCCATATTTTTGCAATTATGGATATTTTCCTTTCCTGCAATAAGTCACTCTTTATTACGGACTTTCTATTCATAAATATTAACATCCATTTTTATAATCTAGGTTTAAGATTACTTAATAATCATGATATTGAATATTTTTTTACTAAAAATTTTTAGTAAAAATCTATCTATTAATCTTTTATTGTCTATATATATATATATATATATATATATATATAAAATGTTATGATATATATGATAATTTTGTAATATATGTCACCACAGAATAACGGATTAATAAACAGTATTTTTAAAAATTATAATATTTCAAAATTTTAATATACTAAATTTTATAATACTTTAGTTTTTTAATTAAAATTTATTATGCCTCTAAGTGCACTTGAAAACTGTTTCTTATTCAGCCTCGCGTGGGCCGGCTAAAAAACATATGCTCTAGATTTGGGTGTTTGAAATTTTCTTCGAGTTGCTTTTGGTTTAATTTAATTTCTTTTCAAATGAAACTAAAGACGTGCTAAAGATACAAACGATTAGATGACATTTTTTAGTAATTAGATTAACCTTTGACTTAGTGATTTAAATCTAACGTGATTTCATGTAAAAAAAATATTTAACATCGTTTCAGAGATAGTTTGGTTGATGTTATTATAACTAAAATAACATTTAAGTTTCAAATTAATTTAACTACCTAAAATGATGTATATAACTAATAAACCACCTGTGCGGTTTATACTCGTTCAAATAAAAATAACAAATTTTGTATATGGTCTGAGTACATCTATAAGTAAAGATTTTAAAATAATATATCTTTTTAGTATTAATAATGAAGATTCTGTAACATTACCATTAAATAAAAATAATTAAACAATTAAAAATATCATGAAATTGACATGCTAAAATAAAAATATACCATTTTTGTTGATATGGTATGAAAAAGTTTAAAATATATAATCAAATCTAAATTAAGATTGATTTAGATTATAATAGTGTTAAAATTTGATTTCTTTTTAATTTATATTTTAAATTTGATAGCGTATCAATATTTTTTTTAATGAAATATAACATTTAAATCTAACTAAAATTAGAATTAAATTTAAAAATAAAAATTTTGATTTAATGAGAACAATTTCTTTTAAAAAAATTTCTCACAAAAAATTATTAAAAATGACTCAAATATATATACACGTGTAAATAATTTTTAAATTATCACCGATGGTGAATTGATATATATAAAATTATATTGATAATATATTCTTATTAACTAACAATGTGCAGTACAGTGCTTTAAAATTAAATTAAATTAGATATAAAAACAAATATGTTACTTAAAATTTAATATCTCATTCTTAATTTTGTATCACTGAGGTTTTGGTCATTAAGGAAAGCACTGGGTGTGGAGGGGGTTCATGCAGACAATTGAGAACCTGGGATTTGATTTAGGTGGCTATGACTTGATTTTTTGGCGTACCATGACCCATGATTTTAGCAATTTAGTTTAATTTTTATATGTTTGAAATTTCCAACTTTTGATAAGTTCAAAAGGAGATGATGATGGGTAGCGATAAGAGGGGTAATGAAGTGACATGTGGGATGCATCGAGCGGTGGAAGGGCAGTGAAGGTATGGTGATTGGTGTGACGGATGAGGAAGAAGGAGAATAATGTTGAAGAGGAATAAGGGGGTCCACAAGCAGCATTTGCAAATGGAACTTAATGATATTCTGATGATAAGAGTGAGAGAGAATGAACAATGGAAGATGCATCCACACTATCTTGTGTTATATTTTCTCTTCCTCATCTCATCGTATTACAGTTCTAATGTTTTATATTAATAAGCTTTAATTGAGTGTTGTTTTGGGGGGGCAATGTTGACTTTGATACCATTGGTTGCAAATCTTTGTCAATCCTCTGTTTCCCACGCCCAAACAATAATATCAACGTCTCCCCACTTGTTCTTAACAAAAGTGCTTTCTTGTGTTAACTAAAAGCCAAAGCAGACGAACCATGTTGCTTGGACACCACGTTATGCTGCTCCACTTCATCTAATCCTCATTTTCATTCTTTTCCTTCGTGCAATTTACGTCATCACTTATTGAATTGCCTTTTATTTAATTTTATTACTAATAATTATAAGATTCACTCTTTTTAAATTTTATGAAATTTAAAAATATTTGTATAGTATTTTTTAATTGATCATTTTAAAAAATATTTTAAATTAATTATATTCTTACACTGTAAATAATATATATTTTATTGTAAAACCAAAACTATAGATGATAATGGTCAATGGCTATTTTTTAATTTTTTATAATTAATATATAATTTTAGTTTTTTCATAGTTTTTTATTTGGATTGGTAATTGACGTCATCGGTAATTGAATTGGCTTTTTGATAAATAAAAAAATTAAAAGTAATTTCATTGTAAAGATAAATTTAAAGGATACGTAAGCCAATCATAATTTTTAATATTTTGTTATAATTAATATATAATTTTAACCTTTAAGTTAGTACATAGATGATATTAAAATTAATATATAATTTTAAAATGCGTTAGATCAAATATTTAATAGTTATAAGAAGTATAATGAAACCTAATTTAAAAGCTGAATGTTCAGCGTGATTCTACTTTAGTTTGGGAGACGTCAACTGTATTTGTGAGGACTTTGCATGAAGTGGTGCCTCCGTCAACATTAATTTCTTGTGAAAAACTGTCTTACACTGTTTGGGTGGGCGAAGACTCGGTTTAGTGGGTCCTTCAGAATTGACAGTCTTGGGAGAAGGAGAGAGTATATTACAAAGGTTCTTCACAAAATTTTTATTCAAGATTTGATCTCATTGACGGCATTATTAATAATAATAACTTGGGACAGAAACGGTGATATACTTAGAAAAAATCACAATTACATGGAATAAATTAATTTTGCGTGCATGCTATCTCATCCACATACTTTAGCAATTGAATATCTTATTTGGCCCATTGATTGATGGGATTTCACTATTAGTAACTAGACAACTTAATCTTTTTATTTTTAATACTATTTAATGAATAGGTTATGTATTGTGGATGAAAACACATTTTTAATGAGTTATTATTGATTAAAGTTTATTAAATAAGAAATGAGAATTATATTATATATTTTTGTAAATTTTAATAAATTTTAGTTAAAAATAAAAAGTATATCCTCTTGTGTATGCGGGTAATTTTTGTTGTCTCAATTTCTATACCCGTCTTACCTTTGATGAAAATCATATCTCGTTTAGCCCAAATTAACATTTTAATTTACTTGCTATATATTGAAAGTGTTTTTTCACTAGTTTCGTGTAATTATACATTTTAGTTCCTTTGTTAAACAAATGACATGGCCGTTCTGTGACCTCTTAACTTGCAAAATTCAGAAACGACCGTGTCTTCAACTCGTGGACAGGGCCGTGAGTCTCGACAAACACTGCATATGTTCATGTTTGTGCTTCATGGTTGTGTGGAGATATTTCAATCGAGTACTATAATATCATATTTGCTTCATTTGTTTCATGTGTTAACCCAAAATTACGTGCTACTTTATTGCGATATTTTTTCCACGCGTCTCTGCCTCTGCCATAATGAACCGATTCATATTCACATATATCCCTAAAATCACAATCATATGTTGTCGCGTTTCCTTGCTTTCTTGTGGACCAAATGACATCTTGCAACCACCATTCTGGCACCCCGGCCTCTGCTGCAACCACCATTAACAGCCACACTCTGCTGCACCAATCTGTCACCGAAGTTGTTTCTTACTCATTACTTGATGTCGTAAATGATTTTTTTAATAACTCAACTCAATAGATTTGAAAAGAGAGTTAGCAGAATCCATGCCTGCAATAATCTATATAATAAAGAAGGAGTAGCCTTGTTTAATATTTCTAGATGAATTGAATCGATCGGGCCAAAGCGATTTATTTAGTCTTTAGATTCACGTATAACTAATGTTTTACTACTACTTCAGCTACCAAAACCCCTACTACTAGTCTTCCAGTACAGTTTCTTTTTTATCAATATGATCTTAGATATCCGAAAGATTAGCAATAAATTGTTGACCAAACGAGATTGACGCTTCATTATCGAAATTATGAAACTCAGACAAAAGTACAAAAGCTATATTATAGATTTATAACTTAACTAAGGAAGGAGACAAGCAGATGCAGGAAGATGGAATCTTAAAATATTTAAATAACTAAAAATGATATTATATGAAATATTATACATGATTTTTTAATTTTTTATACACCTTTTTCAAAAATATAAAGAGACATTTAAAGTGTTTATTTTAAATGTATTATACATAATATTTTTAACAAGTATGCTATTTTTACAATGATAAACATAAACGTGCGCGTAAGTGCATGGCAAATTTTGTAAAATGTTTTAATCATATTTTTCGGCA